ACTTGTAAAATAAATGAATTGTAAATGACATTAGAAGGACAGGGGTCGAGAATTCCCTGGTGGTCCAGTGGTTAGGACTCTGCACTTTCACCGCCGAGGGCCTGGGTTCAGTCCCTGGTCGGGGAGCTAAGATCCCACAAGCCGTGTGGCCAAAACATAAAATAAAATTCTTAAAAAAAAAAAAAAAAAAGGAAAGGGCCCAAATAAAAAGACTACCATTTACTATTTGCTGGTATAAAAAAAAAAAGGACGGGGGCCAACTAATAACCTAAAAAAGGACAGGGGCCAACTAATAAGACTACTATTTACTATTTGCTGGTATAACTCACTGAGAAGGTAAGTGTGGATCAAAACATTTTAATAGAATCATTTAAATATACTCAGGGAGCTACCTGCTTAACCTCACCAAATCATTTCAAAACCTAAAGCAGCCCTGTAATAGTGGGAATAACTGCCTCTAATGTTGTTTTTGTTTTGTTTTTGGTTTTTTCTGCGGCATGCGGGCCTCTCACTGCTGTGGCCTCTCCTGTCGCGGAGCACAGGCTCCGGACGCGCAGGCTCAGCGGCCACGGCTCACGGGCCCAGCCGCTCTGCGGCATGTGGGATCTTCCCGCACCGGGGCACGAACCCGTGTCCCCTGCATCGGCAGGCGGACTCTCAACCACTGCGCCACCAGGGAAGCCCATCTTTTGTTTGTTTATTTTTACATTTTTAAATAAATACTTTAAATAACAAGATCTTGTGACAGGTCTAATAACTTCTGTGATTTTGAGGTAGAAAAGAGTGCAAACAATAACAAATGGATATTTTTATGCTAAGCTTTCTTGAAACAAAGCTTCCAGTACAAGAATGTATTTGTGGACTTCCCTGGTGGCGCAGTGGTTAAAGAACCTGCTGCCAATGCAAGGAACACGGGTTTGAGCCCTGGTCCGGGAAGATCCCACATGTGGCGGAGCAACTAAGCCCGTGCGCCACAACTACTGAGCCTGCACTATGGAGCCCGCGAGCCACAACTACTGAGCCCGTGTGCCATAAATGCTGAAGCCCGCGCACCTAGAGCCTGTGCTCCACAGCAAGAGAAGCCACTGCAATCAGAAGCCCACGCACGACAATGAAGAGTATCCCTCACTCGCCGCAAATAGAGAAAGCCTGTGCATAGCAACAAAGACCCAAAAATAAATAATAAATTAATTTTTTAAAAAAGAATGTACTTGCGCATTCACACAGATGCTCCATGCACACACACATCCGTGAAGAAAGCATGTACTAAATGCTGATGGGCTGCATTGCACTTAATTGCGAAGTTCCATATTTTAAAATTCTTTGAGAATTTAAAAACATTAGATAAGGGATAGTTAGGGAGTTTGGGATTGACATCTACACACTGCTATATTTAAAATGGATAACCAACAAGAACCTACTGTATAGCTCAGGGAACTCTGCTCAATGTTATGTGGCAGCCTGGATGGGAGGGGAGTTTGGGGGAGAATGGATACATGTATATGTAGGGCTGAGTCGCTTTGCTGTGCACCTGAAACTATCACAACATTGTCAATCGGCTATACTCCAATATAAAATAAAAAGTTTTAAAAAGTAAATTAAAAAAACATTAGATTGATACATAATATGTCATTGGGATTTCTTAGAGAATTGATTTTGCCTAATTTTTTTCCAATATATTTTAAATAAATTAACTTGTTTGCTTATCTAGCTATTATCTGATTGATTGGTGGATTTTATATATTTTTTTACAAAGCCTTATATTCCACTGTCAGAAACAATTTAGTCCCTGGTACCAGTGATCCTTCTGCAAGGAGACTGAAGCACAGACCTTTCCAAATCAGAGCAGCGTGTTCTAGGACAGCATCTTTATGGAACAAAGCAAACCTCACTTTATGTCATAAGTGGGACATAAAGACTTTCCATAAACCAGAAAATATATATTCAATATCCCTTAGATGGACACAGGAAAATGAACTGTGTACCAGGTTACTAGACTGACTTTCATAGAAAGGAATATCCTTAGTCTTTCTCTTAAATTACCCAAGAATTCACATTACTAAAACCCAATTTCCATGGACAACACAGAATGGAGGCATGATGCCAAGACAATTGGAGACAAAGTTCTAGAATGTAGGCTGAGGATAAAAAAAATAAAGGCATGCAGTTACTGGTCTACTTAATTCCTTTTATTCTTACACACTTTAAACAATGGATTATGCCCTTTAATTTTTTGACTTCAAAGGCACATTTGAAAGGTGTTTAGACAGTGCCCGCAGGGCTTGAAATCATTAAACCTGAATTCAGAAGGCTCATCTGGGTGGAGCATTGATCACACCCATTCATCCCTAAAGCTGGAGTGAACACAGTGCCAAATCTCATGATTCAGAAGTCACACCAGGGCCTTTAACATTTTAATACATTACGAATAACATCCGTTTTTGCTGAGCAATTAAAAATATTTTTTATGATGGGAAATTTCATACATTTACAAAAATAGAAAGAAGTGTATAAAAAGCCCTATGTACCCATCACCCAGCCACAGCAATTAGCAACAAAATGTCACTCATGTTGCATCTGTATTTCTACCCACTCCCCCTCACAGCTCGGTTAATTTGAAGTAAATCCCAGTATCATATTATTTCATCCATAAATACTTTGACATGAGTCTCTAAAAGATAAAGATCCTTTGGGGAAAACATTCTATAATATTATTATACTTAAAAAATTAACAGTAATTCCCTTATATAAATGTTCAGTCATGGTTCAAATACTCCCGATTGTGTCACATTTAAAAAGAATAACTATGTTAGAACGAGAAGGTAAAAAAGGTCTACACATTGCATTCATTTGAAGAATGAATTCATTCTCTTAAATCTCTTTAACCTATAGGCTCCCCCTGCCTCTTTGATTTTCATGCAATTTACACATTTTCCTATAGAAATATAAAAGTAGAGAGTCATTTGAAATGTATTAATCACTTGAGCTGGAGAACAGTGCTTCTAAACTTGAATGTACATACAAATTCCCAGGGGTCTTAAAATACAGATTCTGGGGGTAGTGCCTGAGTTGCTACAACCTCCCAGGTGATCTGTATGTTGCTGGTCTGGGGACCACACTATGAAGAGCAAGCCTGTTGAGTTCCACATTATAAGTATTGCTGATTTTGCAGATTACATTCCTGAGGTGCTTCTCTGTTTCCTGTGTTTCCTGTAAGTTGATATCTAGAGGTTTGAATGAATTCCAGGTCAATTATTTTGGCAAGAATTCTTCATAGGTACTGCTGCATGCTTTCTATTGCTTCACACCAGGAGGACCATCATGTCTGATTGTCCCGCATTTAGTGATGTTAAATATTTAGGGCAGTCAACCCCGATGTTTCCACTACAGAGATCCCTATTCGTAGTTTTAGCAGCTATGGACATCATCATCATCCTGATGAATGGTTCTCAACACTGGCTACACAGCAGAAGCAAGAGTCCTCTTTGAGATCAATTATATCAGAATCTCTGGGGTGAGGCCCAGGCAGAGAGAGAGAGAGAGAGTGTGTGTGCTTGAACACTCGTGTACCTGAATGTGCTTTAAACCCCTCACATGGTTCTAACAGGTATCATGTAGGGTTGAAAAACCACTGGCCATTTTTCATTCTGGTTTCCAAATGGTGATATTCTCAATCGATCCTTTTTTCTTCATTTATTTTGCTGAGCTCTTAATGTGTGGAAGCGCTGGCTTAGAAAATGAGCCAGGTAACAGGCTACAAAATAAATCAGCTCCCATTCATACCATGAAGACACTCCTCGTCCTCCCAAAGCCACCCCTTACCCTCCCCACAGCCCTCCTTGCTTTCAGGGACCCCCCTCCCCAGGTACCTCAAGCTGTCCAGAGCCTATCACTCCACCAGGCCTCCCCCCATCATGCCCCATCAACCTGTCAAGGCTATCTTGGGGAGGTGGGGATGGGCTTCTCATTTCTATACTATTTTACCTTCTTCAAAATGAGCATGGGTTATGTTTCTAAAAAACATTTTCATTTTCAGAAGAAAAGGAAAATGTGAAAAGACCCACTTTTTCTAACTCTGCACCTTTGCTTTAAATCCCCATGAGTCATTGAAAATCCTCTTGATTGACGTCTTTGGGCTACAGATGCCAGCATTAAAATACACAGATGACTGTAATTTGGAAAGTGAAAAACCTCAGCATCCCCTAATCTCACCCCAATTCACCAGTCAAGGCTTGTCCTGGAAGGAGGATGATCTGCAAGTAGATAAAAAGAGAAAAATCTGAAAACCTAAAATCTTGCCACCTGTCACAGGAGGAAAGCTGGTCAGAATCTTATTCTTCTATCTTCCTGGCTTCATCACTCTCATCCTTTTTCTCTATTTTAAAAATATATCAGTTATTTAGGGCTTCCCTGTTGGCGCAGTGGTTGAGAGTCCACCTGCCAATGCAGGGGACACGGGTTCGTGCCCCGGTCCGGGAAGATCCCACATGCCGTGGAGCGGCTGGGCCCGTGAGCCATGGCCGCTGAGCCTAAGCGTCTGGAGCCTGTGCTCTGCAGCGGGAGAGGCCGCGGCAGTGAGAGGCATGCGTACCGCAAAAAAAAAAAAAAATAAAATAATAATAATAATAATTGAACACTTACATGTTAAAGATGATTTGAGTATACAGAGAGGACACTAAAATGAGAGAAACAGGTTTAAAACAGAAGTTCTTTTATTTTTATACTGAATACATTCTGTTGGTACAGAGTGTGCTGAGGATGAAGTATTTTAAAGAAAGAAAAAACACTGGTAGCAATACAATTAAAATGGAAAAAAAATAATTTAAAATATAACACAAATGACAAATAGATACATTAGCATTCTGTGAAGCCCACTTAGGGCATTCCATCATCTGTAGGTTGTAGTTTAATTTAAGCTTATTTCAGACATGAGTATTTGGAACTGTCAAAAAAAAAAAACCCCAAACCAAAAAACAAACAAAACCACATGACACAGCAAATCAAACAGTGTATCATGATTTATCAAATACCTTTAATGAAACCAGTACCTGACAATTAGAAAACAGTTAAACCATTTGTTTAAAAAAAAAAAATCCCTCAAACCAGTGTCCATATTAGAGGTGACAGTGTTTCTTTTGCAGTTTCTACCATAAAATAAGACCACCACGGGGAACATTCCATATTGGAATTTAGCTTTTAAATACAAAGAGTAGGCTCTGCCCATTACAGCAGAATGACTCAAATTTAGTTTTCAGTTCCTGCGGATTCTCAGAGCAGCAGTAAGACAAGTCTCAGGATCATCATGAGGCTAGATTAAAACAAAAGATAGGCAAGGGGAGGATGACTCAGGAGGTGTGAGACGGAAGGGTTGTGCGTTCACCTAACCCATGTGGTACTAAACCCTGGCTCCCAGCGTTCTGCCCTGCTTCTACTCCCTGGGGCAGGGGTGATCTCACCATCCCTGGATCCCTGTACTTGAACTTCCAGATGTGACTGAATTAAAAATGTTCACTGAATGAAGGAGAAAAATCAGAACTCACTGTTCTGAAAATCTGGGATGAACCTTTGTGAGAGAAAGGTTTGGAAAGAAACACAAAACTTTCAAAAACTAGTAAAGGCAAGCAACTTGAAAAACTAATCAAGGGGTGATTTGGGGATGTCATAATTACAATCTCAGCTTCTTTCCACGTTTGGGGTCTTGTCTTCTTGACCTATAAACCCTACTTCTGACCCCTTCCACCACCAAGTATCATTATTAGAACAGGGCTATCATTAGAAAGCAGTCCTTTATAATCACACTTTCATTCCCAAATCATAAACATTATATCCAGCCACACTAGAAAATTCTATTGAAAAATAGAAAGGAGAAAATTACCCATTGCATTACCACCTAGAGATTACTAACAATTTGAAATATTACTTCCTATCTTGTTTTTATATACCCAGACTTTTAAAAAATTGAGATCACGCTATATTTGCTTGTTTATTCTGTTTTCATTTCCTATTATGTCAATATTTTCTAATGACACTAAACAGTTTTTGAAAACATGACATGTAATGCTTGCTCAATATTCCATTAAGTGGACAAAACACCTATTGAACCATTTCCTTACTGGTGAATTTTCAAGCTGTTTCTAATTTTTCAGTTCATCATGTTTTCCACTAGAAATAAACTTGCAATAAACATCAGTCTTTGTATACATCTCATTATTTCTTTGGAATAAATTCCAGAAAGTGAAAACGTACCTCAAAGAAAATGAACATGTCGATAGCTGTCAACATATAAAGGCAGCTTCCAAAGAATTTAAAATGTTAAGTATAAATTTTTACTTGGTAATGTGCTTAATCTCATGGATAGAATTACTGAGATTAAGAGAAACTTGAAGCTCCCTATTTATCTTTTTAAAAAATATTAAGTTTTTTCCCTTAAAATTTCAAAGTAACTGCGACAGACTTTCACTTTGTCCAACTCTCTAAGAGAGATTATCAGATTTAAATGAATACCTTTACTGTCTCAGACAGGTAAATCCTGAGAAAAAATGAGGCTGAATTTAATTCTTTATTCTGAAAAAGGTAACTGTGTACATGTGATCGGATAGCACAGCAACGCTAAGTGTATTTGATAAAAATGTTCACTCGTACATAAATGTCAACGATTGAATGGATATTTTAAGGTTTTATAATCATGCTGATTGTAATACAAATTACTTTGACCTTTTAAGTTAAAACTGACTTTTGCCAAAAATTCAGCACTTCAAAATGACAGCAGAGGAAAGAATAGATCAAAATAAGTTTTTCTTACCTTAAACCTGCAACCAGCCCAGCTGGCATGATTTTCTTGGATCTCTTAAACCTCACCCCCATTATGGTGGCCAGGAAGAAAGCTGTAACTAAAAATCAAACCGGTGCGTGAACCAGCGTTTCAAACATGTTATCAGTGCTTGCTTGGGGAAAAAAATGGATTTCATTTCAGCTTTCTAATATAACAACTATTATGTATTGGTACTGAGTTGCTATTTTCTTGAAAAGATAAAGTGCTCTATTAAAACACTTTACAAAATAGCTTATCAAAATAGTTTCTGAGGAAACAAGCACGTTAAAATCCATTCCTGAAATATCTTCAAAAGAAAAAGTCTTTTTCTAACTTAATTTCTATTTAAAATAGAACACTCCTGGGAAGGTCAGGACTGTGTCTTATTCAAGTTTCCTTAGGAACACTAGGCAGTATACCTGGACCCACAAGAGACAGCCAATAAATGTTTAGTTAGCTGAATGGAAGGAAAAGAATCCGTTTCTAAAGTAAATCTTTAAAGTAAGACCTGATTAATAAAATAATCCTAAGAAAAGGCTGACTGTTTTTATTTTATAGCATTCCATTTTGGAAATTTGATGCCTGAAGAGTACATAAAAACAGCCTAATAATATTAAATTCAGAAGCATTATACCAGCCTTTTAGAAGCTAAACCAGCATGATGAGAGAAGCAGTTTTATGGAAGAGATTAGGGCACTGATGTCACAATTTAAGAACTTTCAAGGAAAAATCACTTGCTGATATAAAAAACATGACTGACAATAAACATACATTAACTATTTAAGTGCATATGCATAAAAGCCCTATATATATACATACATATATATGTGTGTATATATATATATTTTTTGCTGATATATTTTTATCTTCTGACATAATGTCATTATTAAAAATATCCCTTGCTCCTATTTAAAATAAGGGGGAAAAAAATCCCACTTAATCTCTTCCTCTCCCTCAAACAAACAACTGGTACAATTTGTCTTCCTTTGTATTTTCTTCCACACCCACCAGGGCACTTTGAATAATCATCAAGTTAAACAGAGACCATTTCCTTGGTGTAGTTTTCCAAACCTTCTCTGTATTTGTCTTTCAACCCAGACAGAAGAAAGCCAAGCATCCTGGGGCTTTAAACACACACAGGTTTTTTCCATTTTCCCTGTGGACATTCTCCTACTATAAGCCCAACAAGGGAAGAAGCTAAAAGAGTCAGCCTTGCTTTTCTAAATCTTAAGGCAAAGTGGGGGACCTAAAAGCTGTTTGTGAATTAAATAAAATAATGCAAGGCTGTCTCTTTTTAGATATTTTCACAGTAACACAAACTATGCTAATATGCATTTAGGAGCATTAGCAGAAAATCCAGACATAATTCCTTGCTTTTTCTAATTTTATTTTATTTTTCTAGTAACAAGTTTTATAGAAATATTCTTCTGAGTTGGAAGGCCTGGCAGCAACATCATTATTTTTGATCAGGTCTGTGTAGAAAGGAACAAGAGCAGTGTTCTGTCTCCGCACATGCATATGCCCACCTGCCATGTCACCAGTATCTTCTAGTACACCGAGGCTAGGTATCAAAAAATTATTCCCAAGCTTTGATTCTCCGTAACTGGGAAAAACACCTTACTCACACAGGGACAATTTTACGTCTCGCTTGTCATTGGAGACACGGTAAGCTCCACAGCCAGCCAAAAATCCAACAGAAAGACCAGCAATCAAAGACAGAACACCACCTGGTGAAAAAAAGTACGGGCTCAGAGAGAGAATCCCCAAATGAAAGGTATACCTTCATCACTCCACATGTGGAAAAATGCATTTCTTCTTGGGCACTGTAACTAGACAAAGCCAAGTTAGGTATCGGCTATCCATGGACAGTTTCTAAGACATGACTGTTTCATGCTGAACCCCAAATGCGAGGCAGAGGAACCCCAGGTACATAGCAATGGGAGGGGTAGGTATGGTGATAAAGCCTGCCTGTAGTATTGCTTCTGACAGTGACTGCATGGTCTTGGACAATTACCTGACTTGTTTACGCCCCTCTTTTATTCCCCCTGTTCTCCTTGCCTCCATTTTTTTACTGAGGTTGTGATGATAAAAATAAGATGAAATGATATTTTCAGCTCATGGAGGTAGAGAGGGGGCCTATTCAAACCAAGCGATGGTTCTGTCCTGAATAATTAACAAACCTTCCAGCCTCAACACATCAGGACTCAGGGATGGACTGTGACCACAGAGTAACAGGAAGAACCTGGTCACTGACGCAGCCAGCCAGCCACCAATCCACCCCCTCCCCGACCCAGCACCAGCCCTGCTCAGCGCTGCCTGGGGCACTGTAATAGACACGAGCACTGCAGGGTGCACGTGCCAGTGCCACTGTCACCAACACACACAGTCCCCACTTCTGGGCACTCAATCTATTTAAAATCTGATCGGATTGGAATCCCTAGGGTCAAGACATCTCTGGGGTTTTTTGTTTTTTGTATTTTTTTAGATTTAAATTTACTTTTTATTTTTATTTTTTTATTGAAGTATAGTTGATTTACGGGGTTGTGTTAGTTTCCGGTGTACAGCAAAGTGATTCAGTTGTAAGGTATCTCTGTTTTTTAAACAGCTACAGGAAAGTCAGATTGCAGCAGGGTTAAGAACCACCCTTAAATTCAGATCGCAGCACCTCCCACACCAAAACACACAACCCATCCAGAACAAGAAGCCACATGCACTAGGTTGTAGTCTAATTCTACAGGCAACAAGTGAAGGAAGATGCCTTGTAATCCTCTCCTCCCACACCCTCCAGCAGCCCCAACACACGCACGCACACGCACGCGCACACACACACACACACACTTTGAAAAACCGCTAACGAAGGAAGTAACCCTGATAACCATATAGACCTGAAACTCAAGTCCCCCAAGGTCACCAATATAACACTCTTCGAAATATAACTTCATTTAATGAATTTCTTAAAAATATAAGAAGCAAATATGAGACACCATGACTGCAAACGCTTTTACCTTAAAAGAAAGCAAAATAGAAAACTTGATCTTTCATTTTTCTCCATGAAAATCCTTCAATTTATCAACTGGGTGTTTTTTTCCATCTTTGCACAGAGATGAAGAAACCACTTCAGATATGATATCTAAGTAATTTTCCTTTGCAACACACAGTATCAACATAATTCAGTTTTTTGACACTATGAGTATATAAACAAACCAAAAACCTCATTTGACAATGAGTGAGTAGCCCTGAAGAGGGTAAGTCAATTAATTATGCAATTGATATTAACAGGTAAAGGGAGGCCCAGATGCCCAGGATCTGGAATGACAGGCTCTGTCCACCCAGCCCCATGGAACCCCCATCCTTCCGAGAATCCCATCCACCACGTGATTCTTAGCTTCTCGTCCTATTTACAGACCCTCAGACAATCCTAGCACAACCACCAACCTCCCACCAGGTCGCTTATTAGTTTCTTGTCCTGCTTACAGACCCTCAGATGATCCCAGCACAATGACCAACCTCTCTTTGATGAAAAATCTGGTTTGGGCTCACCTCTCCGCTTATATCCCAAAATGCTTCCGAATGTCACCAGGGCTGCATAACCAAAACCAATCAGGTCCATTGGCAAGGTTCAAGTCTAAAGCAAGGTGGAAGAGACATATTTTACAAGATAAGACTCTGGGGGAGCAAATGTGTATAAAAATGATATGCATTCCACAGGTTACAGAAATTAATTTCTCTAACCTACTAAGAAAAGGGCAGCTAGATCTTCACTTCTCCCAGCACTCAGCTGCTGTCCCGCCACCCTCATCACTCTCAAGAACGCTCAGGGCGACACCTGAGGCTGATTCTACTTCCTTATCTTCAAGACTTGCTGTTCCCTCAGCTGTGTACTCCCTTCCACTTCCCCAGGAGGACTTCTGCTCTGGTTAGCCGGGTCTCGTCATAGGGCCGTGATGCTGCCATCTCCGCTTTGCACTCCCGTGCCTGGAATGTTCCCCCGCTCCCCCACCTCCATCCCCAGCCGTCCTCTACACCCCATCTCCCTCTGAACCTGCTCCCCTTGTCAGCCGCCCCACAAGCTCCTTAACCACTCCTACCTGCACCGTCCACCTGGTCTGCAGCATCTGCTCTTCTTCCTCTAAATTCCCTGATCTCAGCAACTCCACCTTATAATTCTTTCTTTCGTATTTGTACAGATATTTGTCCCCCCTCCTCCTCACATCGAAAAACAGGAAAGGGGTAATGTAGACGTTTGCTTGTTGACTGAAACAAAGATTTCCTTTCTGTTTTTTTTTTTTGGCTGAGCCATGTGGCACGCAAGACCTTAGTTCCCTGACCAGGGATCAAACCCATGCCCCCTGCACTGGGAGCGCTGATGGAGTCTAAACTACTGGACCGCCAGGGAGTCCCCAAAGATTCCCTTTCAACATGTGCTTTGCACTAGCTTGGTTATGAGACAGCTCTCCTGTGGTGGCAGAGATGCCCACGCTTGGTCCATGGTAAACCATTAAAGGGTACAATGCAGCCCTGGCACGAAGTTAACTGAGTGACCATGACATTCTGCAGGCATCACAGCAGCAGCTGAAACATCCAGGGGCTGGAAGTTCTAAGAAGCTCCACTGAAATCCTGCCTGGGATTCTCTAAGATGTAGGAGAAAGTGTGCTAGCTACAGGCTGGAGACATGGGTTCTGGTCACTAGCGGCTGCTGGGCCCTGGACCACCCCCCATCCCTAAGAACAACTCCCCCAAAGTGAGGGAAATAGACAAGATAAGCTCTAAGGTTCTTGCAGCTTTTTAAATTCTAAGATTCCTGGTGGTGATTGCACATCTTAAGTTTTTTACATCTCTATTTCCTCCCTGGAGAAAGTAGTTCTTTGTATCTACGAGGAATGGTATATGAGAATTCTTTGTATTTTCACAATTTTCTCACTGCTGCCATTCAGGTTAACCTGGTCTTTAATTCTCTGTAGCAACTGGTAACAAACTGACCCAGAAGAATGGAAAAGGGGTCTTGAGTTGATCTCAGAGAGTAAGCTAGCACTTAACTGTGAGGAAAGGTCTGGGGAGGGAGCCCAAGGCACAGGAGGAGGTGATGGCACTGAAAAGGAGGCAATGATGGAAAATCCTCAATGTCTGTGGGACAAAGAATTAAAACAGGATAGTTGTCGATGCCCAAGAAGTTGTCCAGTGGGATTGAACATATAGGAAGGAAGGACCTGTGTTCAAAAACCATTTGTTGACTGAATGATGGATAAACAAATAATGAGGATGATGTTTCTGAGCAATCACCATGTGCCAGGCACCACTCTAAGGCCTTACATGTAACAACCCATTTAATTATCACCACAACCCTACGAGGTAAGTACTATCCCCATTATTATCCCCATTTCCCAGATGAGGTGACTGAAGCACAGAGAAGGCAAGCAGCAGCCCCGAGGTCACACAGCAGAACCAAGATTTCAGACTCAGAGAAGTCTCATTCCTAACCAGTAGTACCTCTGAAAACTGAGTTAGCTGCTGAAAGAATGAATGTGAAAGTGAGCCTGAGGTTCCTCAGAGTTTTGAATTCTGGATTAAGTAATTCTGCTTGGCCTCGGAGCTTAGCCCACGCTGCACCGTCTTCCACCTGGTGACCTACCATCTTCAGCCCTATGAGAGCCTCACGTCCAGTCCTACTTCCTGTCTTTCTCAAAGAGCTCATCACATTCCACAATGCATGCTTGGACTTCAGTAGCATGTGATGTTAGGCAAGCTCCTTAATCTCTGTACCTCAGTTTCTCCATCTGTAAAATAGGGATAATAAAAATATCTACCACACAGAGCTGTTGTGGTGATGAAATGAGTTAATGCTATAAGGCACTCAGAACCGTGCCTGGCACACAATGAACACCCAACAAATACCAACTGCTCATATAATGATTCCTCTCTTTCACACTTATATACATTTTTAAGCTTGACATAAACAAGGGCAATACTATTTCAGCACAGCGAGAAATCAACTGAGGTAGGGTGGATTCATGATGCTGGCATTCATAGACTCAAACCATAATAGTACAACCTGCACTTATACCAAATTCCATCAACGACTTTTTCTTGGGCATCTTCTGTGTGCAGGCAGCAGGAAGGGATGTAAAGCCCCACTGATGGACACGGTCCTGCTATGCCAGGACTTCCAGTGCAGCACCATGGAGGCGGCAGCTGCGTGAGGGAGCCCTCAGGAGGAGAGGCACAGGCAGCGCAACAAGGAGCTGCACCTACTGAGGCTTGGAGCCTAAAGGAAAGTTCCTCCAGGAAGCAGGGACCCAGCTGAGGTCACGGGGAGGGCAGGAGTAAACCAAGGGAGGAGGGTGGCAAGGAAGCACATGTCCTAGGCAGAAGGGAGACATGTGCAAAGGCCTGGTGGCATGAGAAAGCATGGCATGGTTTCAAAATGGAGACAAGTGCAAGGGGTGTGAAGGTGGGGTGGGGGCTGGTGAGCAAGGGCCAGATCACCCCTGGAAGCCCTGTAAAGGGAGTCTGGTGAAGACAGGCTGGGAGGCAGTAAGCCAAGCAAGGGATGATGGTGGCCTGGCCTGGAGAAATGAGGGTGGAGCGAGCTGGACAGATGTGAGAGGTCAGGAGGTTGACTCAACAAGCCCAGGTGTGGGGAGGGAGCAGGGGGGATAAGCCTCTGGCTTGGACCACTAGGAAGAGGGGAGCCTTGATGCTGTTCCCTGAGACAGGGAACAATGGAACAGCAGCAGGTGTGTGGTGGGGTCAGGAGGGGGGTGCCCTGGAATGATGGAGCCCAACTTAAACATAATCAGTCTGAGATGCCCAACACACAGTCAGGAAGCACCCTTCCACAGAGATGTGAAGCTTATGAGAGAGATCACTCCTAATCAGGTAGTAATTGAGGGACCTAATTCTCTCCTTACGTTAATCACCTGGGGTGGAAGGCTGGTTCTTCTCCCTCCTCCGAGTCCCCCAGTTCTTCCTCTGACCCTCTCTTGGGGCCCCATCCCTTCTACCTGGTGTAGACTTACTTCCCTTGAGCTTCTCTCTCCTCTGGGCCAGTCAAGCTCCTTGAGGACTAAGCTCAGGTTCAATTCATCTTGTCTTCCTCACAGCACCAAGCCCACTACCGAGCACTTAGGCAAGGTGCTTAGTAAATGCCTGCTGAGTGAATGAGTAAGTGAACCAAAGGAATAACTTCTGCCTTAAGACATTCCGTAACTGACCTACCCTCGGTATAGCTCTAGTGCCAGGAAAAAGCCCTTCATCGCCTTAGTGAACTGAGTGTTGTTCTAAGGAGGCAAAATAAATCTATTCTCAATCCTTGTAAGAAGTTTCGTGCTTACAGCGAAAATTCAAACAAAAGGCAATCAGCTCTGGTGCTCCTTTTCCGTGGCAGGACCATATGTCCTGCTCAGAATCACACAGGAAAGCCAGAGGCTGCGTTAACAAGGGCGGGATGGGCGTGGGTACGAAGCATCACGTGTTCCCATCGCAAACGCTATGCCCAGCCCTTGGAAAGGCCAGAAGGCATCTTGGGTGCAATGCAGCAAAATGATTTACTGCACAACGCACAAAACCAGATGAAGGGGCCCTGCCTTGCCCTTAGCCCTCCGAAATTTGGGGAAACCACTAAGAGATTTCCCGTAAGCTATTATATAAAAAGCATTTTCACATGCTGAGTATCAATAATTACCTACCTTTGAACTCCTTGAGGCTCGAAAGACACATTTTCGAGTGAAGTCTGGGTGGTGCTGGGAAGGTTTAAAACCCTGCCAAGCATTTCTAGATGGTCCAAGAGCCCCACCCTCTTCCCCATCTCTCCTTAGCTCTAGGAAGGTAGGAAGGAGAACAGGTGGGAGATTCAGGACCGCGGAAGGAAGAAACTCCGGCAATTCCCAGGAGGAGGAGAAAAGCCATTCCCCGGGAGAACAGACTCCACCCCCTGCAAAATCCTCCCAAGGTTCTCTGCGTCTTTAACTGCCTATTTCTGCACCGCTGCATGAAAATTACGGGCAGGAAAGTCTCGATTGCGAGATGTACAGCTCACCTGCAGCCCCGAGCTGTCTCCGCGGCTGAAAAGAGCAAAGTCGGGAGCTAGGTGCGGGAAAACTTCGTACCTGGAGAAGGGAAGCTGACCCCGCCGCCTGCGCCTTCTACTCTGCGCTTTACCTCCCAGTACTGGGTGGGGCCGCTGATTCCGGCAGGCACCGCCCCCGCCCCTCGCGCGCGCATGCGCGGCACTCCTTCCACTGCAGCTCAGCCCTGTCCCGCCCACGCCCGCCGGGCGCCGTGGAGGTTAGTCGGCTCTACCACCTATAGCGCCTGTACTGTAGCATCCCAGGCGGCGGCCACACCTGGGCACTCGCTCCGGACCTGGCCACTCGCTTCGGCGACCCGGCTTTTGGTCCTGGCCCTGATCCCGGGACTCGGGTCTGGTGCCTCCTGCCGGACGGACCTGGAGTGACATGCATTCGCAAGGAGTGGGCCTGGGTGTACCAGGGATTCCAGATGGCGAAAGATTTTTAACCGTTGAAGAAGTTCCTTCAATATTTAAGGGACGTTTGTGGGACCTCTCCAGCAACCCAGGCCTTTTAGATACTCTCCACCAGATTGTCCCCATTTTCAGCGGAGGGAGGTAAGGTTCGGAGAGGCGAAGGGATTTCGTTGTCCACAGACTCAACTCCACAGGGTGCAAAGGCTAGAGCCCGAGTTTGTCTGGTTTCAAAGCCCGAGCACCCTTTATTACACCGCACCATCTACGAAGGCATCTAGATGTGGTGGGGAGACCAGGATCCCGGTTTCATACTTCAAGCCCAGGATTTGCTGGACTTAAGTACCTGAAGGGGAAAGGTACAGAGTGCCAGAATTGAAAGGCACTTTAAATCATCTTTCGTTCCAGAATAATACGTTCTCAGGGATGAACCTTAAATTGATCTGGAATCCTGCATCCTGGCTACAACTTCTCATCTCACTCCAGTTTTGCCTTCCAGGCCACTGACAGTAACTCCAACCATCTTCCTTATATAATAGCTCTTCAGAGATTTGAAGAAGGCTGTCATCTAGGGCTTATCAAGCAGCTCTAGGGGTGCCGTGGGGCTGGGAATAATAGAATTTCTTAAAATTAAAAAAGAAATCTTAAGAATATATCTTATATCTTGTGAAATTTGCTGAATCTATTCCTTGTGTTTAAAAGTGCTTCAAGGAAGCAATGAGACTATCTAAGATGAGAAGTCTAAGGTGGGCATAAGGAAATAGGGTTCTGGGAGATTCACAGGAGAGTTGATGGCAGGTGCCAGAATGTGGATGGAGGAAGTGGTGAACTTCCTGAACTTTGGCTCCAGGTTCTCCCAGCTCTCCTTCTCATCCCCTTCTTTGCCCATCCTTACCTCAGGGCATGCTGGTACCTTTGCGGGTGCATGCTCTCACTCTGTCTCTCTCTCCCCCCACCTCCCCACAGACTCCCAGGACACTTTCCCTAACCTGAATCAAACCAAAAACCCTCTTGGGATGCCTCAGTGTCTTTAACTAATATGAACCCCCCCCAAGTAAATAACTTTCCCTGGACCCCAGTGCCTGGATTTATAAGATGCTGAGATCCCTTCCACCCCTGTCACTGAGGTCTTAGAGACTGAAAACAGCCTCATGGTATTCCTACTCAAGGCGTTTTCACCCAAATCGAAAAGAGCAAGGTGAACAACATGCGGGAACAGGAAGGTTCTTAGGCAAAAGGGCCACTGTCCTCTCAACTCACATGCCTCCAGCTGACACCTACTCCGTCTAATGGGAAGATTAGATAGAGCACAAGACGAGAGTGCAGTAAAGCCTATTCACCTCCACCTCTTTGTAAAGCTGTCTGCTCATGATCCACAGCATATTCTTAACTTCCAATGTGCCATCAACCCTTGGGCAGTCCGGACAAATGTACAAGATAAAGTATGTAGGATTGACAAGGAAGCCAGTTTTATTGAAATAAAGTTATCAAAATATTAAACGTTTAAATCTGTGATATAAGATGTGCTTCATTATTAAATTATGAGATCTAGAAGTGGGTTTTAATAATTACCATAATTTCCAAGTAGTTGTGCACATAAACAATTCTCTGAGGTGTCTGTAACGTGAATATCTGTGATTCCTGGGGATGACAGTCACAGGTTCTAGCACTGCTGTGGTTTGCTGCCAATTTTCATAATGGAAAGAAATGCTAAATTTTACTTAGACGTTGGTGAGTACAGAAACTTCTTTTTCCCATCCAAGTTCTCAGATCTTCTGATTTCTATCCTCAGGCTTCCTTGGATTTGCAGAACTCCCAGTCTCTAGTGATGCAGGGTTTCCTAAGTTGTATTTGGTGGACTTGGATAAAGGGAAGGCAAGGCCGAGAGCCCAGGCAGGACCTCCAAGGACGTCTGCGCCTCAGCGAGTGATCTGGGATCCTCAGCCTGGTCCTCATTTTCAAATGTTCAGAAACTCAGTTTATATCCATTCTTCCAGGGGCACCCTGGCTTTGGAAGATTGATTCATAAAAACCAAAGTCACAAGGGACTTACTGATTTTTAAGCAAACAAACAAACAAAGCCTGTTTCAGGTCCTCGATTCTTCTCTTCAGATCCCACACGATTACTTACCATTTAGGCCTCTCTCTGCTCATCAGTCCAGAATGAGACAGGCAAGTGCCTCCAAACCAACCAAAAAATTTACATTTGTGCTATCTGACGAATATGCAGATAGATGAGCTAAGTCTAGTTTGTATTTGGGCAAAATACCAACAGCCTTTTGTTTTATGATTTCGGCAGTTTCATTAAAATCCTCATAGGAATCCAGAAGACGATCTGAAACTCCATTTTTCAAGTCAAAGTACCTGAGAGCTAGAAAGAACATTTTTTTTGTTGCCATGATTTGGTGCATGGCTTGCAGCTGATATACTATAGAAAGCATGATGGTTGGTGAGAGATGACAAAATCAGCTCTACACTGTAAGGGACCGACACATCTGTTATCAAAATTTCTCCTTTTGTTTGCCCACAGAATATTTTGGTCACAACCTCTGAATCAGGAAAAGTGACTTTACTCAGTTTCATAGAACAATCAAGGCAGCCATAGGACAAGGCATGTCTGTCTGTGTAGGACGCCCATGCTAATTCACCAGCTGCTACTTTTGGGTGAATGCTGATTTCATTTCCCAAAAAGACACCACCTTTGGCTGGTTTGGAGGCACTTGCCTGTCTCATTCTGGACTTGTGAGATTGTCTCGAAATGCGCTTTCACATCCCGTTCTCCACCATGCCCAATCCCAAATTCTTTCCCGTACAGTGTGCAGGATGCTCTGTGTGGGTTATTTACGTCCCTGATCCAGTTGTATGTGTCCTTACATTTGTCGTTAAAATAACACAGTCGTTTAGCCTTCTTTTTTGGTGATGGGAATCATGCTTGCGTTAGTAGTATAAACGTTCTCATTTTCATTATCTGACCTCTTAGAAAACATGGTCACAGTTCTCACAGTGTTTAAAAAAAAAAAAAAAATTAAACTAGCACTCTTCTGATACAAAGCACAACAGTTAATCCCCAGGCTGGTATCACAGCTCATGCCACCAACGAACAATTTTCTGAAATGGTCGGGTGAGACACATGGCCACAATAAGTCTTAACAAGGAAGCCATGAGCTTTGAATGTCTTACTAGAAATCCATGAGCTAAGGTAGGGCGAGATCGCCGAAAGCTTTCACTGCAAGGATTACAAATAAAGCCACCATCCAGCAGCAAAAGTACACTCCCACGCACCCTAAGTATGAAAGATTGTACCTTGGAAAGACGTTAACAAATTTATACCACCTCCTTACTGAGATCTCAACTCCACAGCCCCTCCAGGCTGGGAGGGGAAAGAAAGGGCAACCTGGCCACAGCGGAGGCCACAACTGGAAGACACCCTCCTATCAAAGCGCTATCATCAATCTCTATCTTCCTCTGTACCCAGATGTTGCTGTCAAGGAACTTGGCCTTCCTGGGGCAGAGACTGCGGTCACACAGCGAGTCTGTTCCCAGCAGGAGGGGAGGATGGAGGCCCTGGGTAGGGCGCGGCCGGACCTGGCTCAGACCCAGTCCGAGATCACACCTTGCTCCCGGCCACCTACCCTCTGGGCCAGGCGGTTTGGGGACTGCGCCCAAAGCCACCCAGCGACTCCCGCCAGCTCCCCAGCCCCCACCCGCTCCCTCCTCGCTCTTGCCGGGTTCTCGGGGCGGGTTCTGGAGGCGGCCCCGTGCCTGTTCTCGGCCAGGCGCGTCGTCTCCACGGGCTGCTCGCCTTCACCTGCTTCTGACGCGCAGGTCAGACCCTTTTGTCCCCGCCCCGCCGAGGACGCCGCGGAGACCCCTGGTGGGCAACCGCCCCGCGCTCGACAACTAGCCCAAGCATCTTTACGCGAGCGTTTCGGAGCTACCGTTTCCGTTTATAAGGCCCAAGTCCGCTGGGGCGGGCCCACTTCTCCTAAAGCGCATGCTCATTGGCTGAACCCGCCTGACACTCAGCCCTGGGCCGCCGTCCTGTTGACCCTGACGGCGACCTCTCAGAATCCTGGGAAGTTTGGCGTCTTCGAAGGCAGCGGAGCCGGGGCGCCTCAGAGGGTTCCCGAGGGCCGTGGAGCCTGCGGAGGCTACCTCCGCCGGCTGACGCCTCAGCCTTCGCCCCGCGCGCCGGTCTCGGGCTTCACGGAAATGAAAACAAGCCAAGAGTAAAACAAAACCAGTACAAATCCCCAAGTCAAAGCAGCTACAATCAAATTCAAGGAAAGCAAAGGTAAATGCGTTTTCTCAGTATAATTAAGCAAGAGTCATTTTTTGGCAGAGGCAAAGTAAACAACTGAATTTCAAGGGGGTGAATTCAAGAAAAGGTGAAACGGGAATCTAACTTCAGTTATAGGATATTTATACCGATTTCTTTTTAGACCTTGATAAGCAGAAGTTCACTGTCAAAGAATCCAGCTTTTCTTATTTGGTTGCCTTTCCTACAAACGGCAGCAGGGGGCACTAGATGCTCTAGTTTCATTCAGGTAGGCGAGGCGTTTTAAACCTTGTTAGAGTTATTATCAAACTCCAAATGGTTTTCCTCATAGAAAACAGGGCGGTGGTCTGACTAAGAGGATGTAGGAGGACTTCCCTGGTGGCGCAGTAGTTAAGAATCCACCTGCCAATGCAGGGGACACAGGTTCGAGCCCTGGTCTGGAAAGATCCCACGTGCCGCGGAGGAGCTAAGTCCGTGAGCCACAACTACTGAGCCTGCGAGCCACAACTACTGAACCCCACGCGCCTAGAGCCCGTGCTCCACAAGAGAAGCCACCGCAATGAGAAGCCCCCGCACCGCAACAGAAAGTAGCCCCCGCTCGCCACAACTAGAGAAAGCCTGTGGGCAGCAACAAAGACCCAACGTGGTCAAAAATAAATTAATTAATTAAAAAAAATAATGTACCAAAAAGGTAACAATTTCTGCACTACAACCTGTTGACTAAGGATTACAGTTTCCTGAAATATTGTGATGGGGAGAAAAGGTCAATTACAGGACCTAAGGGGGAATTTTAAGGTGGGCTCTGAAAGAGACAGGCAGTGGAGAGTGAACAGGGTACCGCTGACTCCCTGTCCTAGCCCTGCCATCTGGACTCATTTTGAACTTTTGCCAGGAACACGGGACTTTCCGTGCTACTGGGACTGAGAGGTTTCCTGGAATTTGGCACTTTACTATAAACAATAATGATAGTAACTAACATTTAATGAGTATTGTGGGCCAGCCACCTTCTGAGCATTTAATCCTCCCAATAACCCTCCGGGGTAGATACTGTGTCATCCCCATTTTACAGAGGAGGAAACTGAGGCAACTTGCCAAAGGTCATGCACACAGCTGAGAAGTGTCAGATTCACGTTATAGAAAAGAGTGTGCATGCAGGCTCTGCAATCATTCTGCCTGGGCTCCAATCATGGCTCCACTGCATATTTTATTAAGAGAGGAAAGCACAAAACATGACTGGCACAGAGGAAATACTCAGTAGTGTTTGCTATTATTAAAAGTGGTCCTTGCTCTCCAAGAGTTTAAAATCTACTTTAAGAGGTTGATAAGATTCATAAGGCAGCAGAGATGCCTATTGAATGGGTGAATGGGACAGAGAAGAGATGTGTGGAAGTATTTGGAGGAGGGAACAGCTGTGAAACAAGAGTGGTTAGGTCTGGGTCACAGGTCAATCAACATGGCCCCTGCTTAAATGAGTAATCTGCATGTCATCATTAGAAGGTGGTCTCAGATCATGAATGGCTTGAGCTAATCACTATAATCTTTGTGTTTGGTTATCATATGGGTAGGTGTGTTTAATTAAAAATGTAGTCGATTTTTACTAGTCACTAAAATTGTCTTAAGGAATGGTATGGTATCTACTCTTTTAGCTAGAGGAAGCATTTATTAATTTTTCAGAGAAAGCCTTTATTAATTTCACAAAACTGTTGCATGTTATATGGTCAGGCCCTTCAAGATGGCTGTTCTCCTGCTCTCTGTGCATCCCCTGCTTGACCAGGCCCTGCTTCCCTCACATAACTATTCAATCCTCTTAATTATAGGGCTGAATTAGTCCCTGGTAACTGAGCCCACCTGATGTCAATCCCCCCTGTAAATGGTAGCCTCCTTCTCCCCTGAGTAGCAAAGACTGTTGCCATGTCCTGTCCTCTGGACGCAGTGGGGAGTTTCTCCAGGACCCTTTGTAGGATTCCCCATGTCCAATAAACCATTGATGTCTCTGTCACTGTCTCTGGGCTCTGCCGTCCCAAGGCTGGACAACTACAAGACTTGCAGGCCTGTGGGATACAGCCCAACAGATGTCAAGCCATGGAAAAGGAGTCTGAGTTAGAATAGGACTCTGAGAGTTAGAGACTGACTCTCGAGGGGGATGGCAAAAGGTATTATAATTGAAACCTGAAGTCTGAGAGGCAAAGAGTCAGGGGGACCGCATTGTGGGTAGCAGGAATGGCCTGAGCAAAGGCCCTTCGGTGGGGAAAGGGCTCCATGCCTTCTGAGAACCAAAGGAGGGTGTTTGGTTGGGGCTAGAGAATTGTGAATTAGAAGCAGAATAAATTGGTTTAGCAACAAGCTGTGTTCATAAAGAGCTGGGCTGAGTATGGTTTCCTGCTTCTGAGTCTTCTATTTAAATCTGGACTGTGCAGTCGCCAGATGTTGCTGCGGGGAAACTTGCCATCATGGGGTGAGGGGTAATCTTTGTGTGCATCTTGCTTTCCATTGGTTGTCCTTAACTGAGTTTAACGCTCTGTGTCTGTGTGTGCTTAAACCCAGAAGAGCCTCTGTTTTGGATGAGGATGACTCCTGACTCTTCTCTTTTGCTTAGCAGTAAAAGAATGGTAAAATGGATTTACATTCATTCGCTAGCATACTTGTCTAACTTCATCTTCCCCAAAAGATTTCTTAGAATAAAAAATAAAAACAAATATTAGGGCTTCCCTGGTGGCGCAGTGGTTGAGAGTCCGCCTGCCGATGCAGGGGACATGGGTTCGTGCCCCGGTCCAGGAAGATCCCACATGCCGCAGAGCGGCTGGGCCCGTGGGCCATTGCCACTGAGCCTGTGCGCATCCGGAGCCTGTGCTCCGCAACAGGAGAGGCCACAACAGTGAGAGGCCCGCGTACCGGAAAAAATAAATAAATAAAGATAGCTCAATCTTGGCACTTCCTTAGTGGCATAGTGGTTAAGAATCCGCCTTCCAATGCAGGGGACCCAAGTTCGATCCCTGATCAGGGAACTAGATCCCACATGCATGTCACAACTAAGAGTTCGCATGCCACAATTAAGGAATCCGCCTGCTGCAATTAAGACCTGGTGCAGCCAAATAAAAAAGAAAAATTCCTGTTCCTCTACATCCTCATCAGCATTTGGTGTTGTCAGTGTTAAAAAAAAAAAAAAGCTCAATCTTTCCTATTCTGACGGCCTCCATGGAGCCACTACTGTACTTGTAGTGTAAAAATCAAACATGTGAGAAAGAGGACTTGATGTACAGAGTTAATCCATGTGTCTTCTTCAGATCTCTTTGAGCAAACGACCCTTAATGCAATAAAACTGGCATCTTTGAGGAAAAGCAGATTATCTTGTGTGATAAGGCTGCCTTTTCTCATTACGTTAATGTTGCTCTGATCATGCGTTTAAACAATGTTTTTAATTTAAAAGAAAAGGTCCCAAGAGACAGGGCATAATAATACTTGGAAACATGCAATGGAGAAACATTCTGAAAATCCACTCAGCAGTGCAGCGGGACTCACTGTAAAGGTGAAATTGGGACCAAATTTAAAGAAAAGAAAGATTCAGCCCCTTTCTCTCTCCTTTCTTCTTTTTTTTTTTTTTTTTGCGGTACGCGGGCCTCTCACTGCTGTGGCGTGGCCTCTCCTGTTGCGGAGCACAGGCTCCGGACGCGCAGGCTCCGGACGCGCAGGCTCAGCGGCCAGGGCTCACAAGCCTAGCCACTCCGCGGCATGCGGGATCTTCCCGGACTGGGGCAAGAAACCCGTCTCCCCTGCATTAGCAGGCGGACTCTCAACCACTGCGCCACCAGGGAAGCCCCTCTCCTTTCTTCTTATAGTTCATTCTAAGGGGCTAATTGTTAGAGCAAGTTTAAGTGGTATATCTAACAAATTTCATGGAAAGAAAGGCAATGAATATTAAAAGTTTCTGAAATTCAAACCAGATGTGGATGGAGAGTTAATTTAAAAACAACCACACACCTGTAACACCTTGGGCAGGCTCTGGAACATCTAGCAGCATTTGTATAACTCATCTTTTCAGGCTGGATTTAATAAAGATTTGGGGGATGAAGACGGTTAGGAAGAAATTGAACTATTTATGAAATACATTTTTTTAAATTGGTAAATTATTCCAATTAGCAAAGTGGTTAATAATGCTGGCTTTTAGGCTGAATTTTTCAATTTGTGAAGCTTCAAGGCTAGGAGCCTGCCAGGTGAATAAGAAACGGTCAGGGCTTCTCCCTGAAATTGACTGGGGCTGTGGTCAAAATGTAATAGGATGCTTCTGTGTCATTCCCTTTTGCAAAAATGTCGCTACAGACAGAACTTTAGGAAAACTTTATTTCATTCATCTTAAATTGTCTCCTTGGAGGCTTCTGAAATGCTTAATTCAGCGGTCCCCAAATTTGCTGCCCATTGGAATCACCTGGGCATCTTTCAAAACTACTGATGCCTGGCTCCCATCTCCCGATATTGTAATTTACCAGGTATGGGCTGCAAACCAGGCATGGTTTTGTTAAGCTTTTTATATATACATGGGTTGTAAGAAATAATACAGAGAGATTCCTTATACTCTTTATGTTACCCCATGGTAACATCTTCCAAAACGGTTATACAATATCACAACCACCTTATTGACATTGATACATGCAAGATCTGGAACATTTCCATCACTACCAGGATCCTTCCTTCTTGTTGGCCTTTTATAACCACACCCACCTCCCCACCCACTCCAACCCCCTCCTTAACCTCTTGGCAACCACTCATCTATTCTCTATTTCAATAACTTTGTCATTTCAAGGATATGATATACATGTAATCATACAATATGTAACCTTTGGGGATTAGCTTTTTTTTTCCACTCAGCATAATTCTCTGGAGATTCAGCCAGGCTGTTGCAGGTATCAGTATTTAGTTCCTTTTTATTGCTGAGTAGTGCTTCAGGGTGTGGATGTACCACAGTTTGTTTAACCATCTGGATTGTTTTCAGGTTTTGACTATTAGGAATAAACTGCTAT